GCCTTTTGGCTGTGTGCAAGTGGGTCGATATGACACACGGGGGTGGGGGCAGCCGCCGCTCAACCTACATCCACGTGGGCGGCCTTGTACGCAAGAGGTTCTGAACAGGGGGAGTTGTAAGGAAGAAGATTAAAAACGAATTTAAGATTTTTTTGTTTTTTTGGTTTTTTCGCTTAGGCGCTCTGATATCATGTGACAATATATATACAGTCATAAACAAGCAAAAAAAGGAAGGTCTTCTGGAATGGCCCCCTCAGGGCGAAGAAGGTCGTGCTCGATTACAGGATTTGACAACACAGTCTACCTAGGAAGGTCTTCTGGGATGACCCCTTCAGGGAGAAGAAGGTCGTGCTCGATTACGGGATTTGCCAACACAATTCTGGGATGGCCCCTTCAGGGAGAAGAAGGCCGTACCCGATTACAGGATTTGCCACCACGATCTACCAAATCAGAGGACGGAAATTTGCACGGGGCGTCCCAAACCCTGACGACGTTCGTCCCGACCCTGACCTACTGAAGCGCCGTGATGGAGGACGGGCATGAACATATGCTCCAAACAGATCAGTCAGCCTCACGGCACAGCACAGTGCAGCCGCACAATACCATTCAACTCACCACTCCAGTCGTCTGCGTTGAGTTTTGTACGAGAGAAAGGGCCTCGCCGCTTCACTCACCAAACGCATCAAAGACAAGTTTATGGCAGTGTATCTTTCCACGTTCTAGCGGAAGAGTCGTTCTCATTTTGCAATTTGGTGTGTGGTGCGGCGAGGCCCAAATAGTCATCTGATTTCGTCGGAGCACAGGCGGGGAAAAGGCCAGCGCACTGCGCAAGAGGATCGCGCTGCGCAGATAGAGAAGGGAAAACGGCGACCCATGTAGTCGCAGAAACCCGCCGGATGGTGCACTGCGTTCAAAGCATCTGTCGTATGGTGGACTGCATTCAAAGCACCTTCCGGATGGTGGACTGCATTCAGAACATCTTCCGTTTAGCGGACTGCATTCAGATCATCTCCCGTATAGTGGACTGCATTCACAGCATCTACCGGACAGTGTGCTGCATTCAAAGCACCTGCCGTATGATGGACTGCATTCAAAACATATGCAGGATAGTTGCCTGCATTCAAAGCATCTGCCGGACGGTGGACTGTCTTCAAAGCACCTGCCGGATGGTGGACTGCATTCAAAGCATCTGCCGGATGGCGAACTGCACAGAATGCACCTGCCAGGTGACTGGAAAACGGAGAACTAAGAAGAAGACCGCAGTGAAGCCTTTTCCATCGCGACGCAAAAGTGTGTACGTCTTCGACGCGCAGGTTGCATTGCCGTCAGATTAACATGTGCGGCAAAACGATTCTTTCCCAGCAAAATAGATTTAGATGCTTCGGATTCCTCCTCCCTTTTTTGGTTCCTTCTCAAGAAAAAGAACAGAAAACGAGGAATTCCTACCATTCGCCGGAGGTTGACCGCGAATAACAACTGATGACTTTCCTCAGAACAGAGCGCATAAGCGTGCCTGCCTAGCATGCCATCTCTTCAGGCGAAGTAAACAGTAACTCAGCCTCCAACAAAACTTCCACAATCTGAAAACATAAAGATATATCAAATAAGAAGAGAATGCTGATAGCCATTCATTAGGCCGCGATCCCGCCTGGTCCTGCCTAAGGAGGCAGCGACGCCCAGACGGCCAGCCGTCATTACACTTTTACCGCGTGTATGTATACAACATGCTAACGAGCTTACATTTAGACATACCATATAACGGATGCGGGAGGAAAGAGAGGGAAGATACATTGCAAGGTTTACACACGCAAGAGAACTTTCTCATCAGTCTGACTGAAGGTGTCAGGATGAAAAATTATAAACCCAGTATATTTTCTGGACTGCTGTGCAGGGCACACTGATTGACACCTTCCAATCGATCGTCGATGAGAAGAAGCGCCACCACTCCCTAATCTTCCCCTCCTCATTTTTCCCCTCTAAAAACTTTCTTTCCATGATTTGAAGTCTTTATAGGTTCTTCCCATGGCCCCTCGTCGCTCCGACAAAATTCACGTCGGGCAGAAACCCTCTCTCTCTCTCTCTCTCTCTCTCTCTCTCTCTCTCTCTCTCTCTCTCTCTCTCACACACACACACACACACACACACACACACACACACANCTCTCTCTCTCTCTCTCTCTCTCTCTCTCTCTCTCTCTCTCTCTCACACACACACACACACACACACACACACACACACACACACACGCGCACACAAACTCACATATGACCACTGGTCTCTACCACGAATTCGCGTCAGGCAAAACCCCCCCTCCTCTCTCTCTCTCGTGCGCGCGCCTACACACACAAAGTTCTTAGGCACAAATACGAACAATCTCTTCCGCAAATACTCAACAGACACAGTAAGAAGGCTAAGATAAAAAATAAAGAGAAGTACAGCGGGGAAAAGGAGAAAGAGGATGACGACGAAAGGAACAAATCCTTATTGTTGTTTTTGTTGTTGTCGACATTTTCCCGGTGTAGCTAGGCTAACCCGTAAGAGAGATCCTTGTCCTTGGCCGACGGCGCCATCCAAATCCGATGTAATAGACAAAAGTGAGAAAAGCGAGAGAAACGAATACGATCTGGAAAATCCCATACCTAAAGAGGACCTTGATTCCCCGCAGGTTCTCGAGCTGATGACCGAATATATTGGCGACGGCCGTTTCCTGTGCGTACAGCGCAAAGGCGGTCGCGCAGAACTGAATGACGCTAATCGAACACAAGAGGATCAACCCGACGTTGAAGAGAAAAGAGCTCATGAGAGTTCGTCCCCATCTCATCGGATGAACGGTGAACAATACAAACGTCAACCCTAGCTTCATTTCCCCGGCAACCACCGCCAACAGCAAGTAGAAGCAGAAGAGAGCAAAGGCTGCCGTACCGAAGAGACCGAAGGCGTTGTCGAGTTTCACAAACATATCGTTCAATAAGACAGAAGCCGGGGGCTTCATTAGAGAGTATACAATGATGTGGCCAATCCACAGTGCGGAGAAAACCAACCCAACAAGACCGAACAGCAATTGGCACAAGTACCCGACGACAGTGAGCGCCCACATCGCCTCCGCTTCTTCCCCCTGAGGGTACACTTCCGCCAGATCCATTTCCTCTTGCTCCAGGTACACCAGTTCGTGCTGCAGCAGCCGGACGTTCTTCTTCCATTTCCTGCCTTTGCTTCCCGCCCTCTCTTCTTTCTGCAGAGCCTGCGCTGTATCCCTGATCTCCCTGGCTCGCCTTCCTAACTCCGTTGCCTTCTGGATATACTGCGATCGTGTAATTAGGGCTTTGGGCCGCCGGAAGAACGAGAAGATGCAATCCAACGGGAGAGAAATGATGCCTACACCTCCGAAAATGGCGAAAAGAACAGAGCCAACGATGGTCGACAGCGCAATCACGTAGACGGGGAAACTAGATCGGAGGGACCAGGTGTCCTCCGAGCCCGCACTACCACCGTAGCCATAGCACTCCGAGGCTGCGGGTCCGGAGACAGCTGCGGTATTGTCCGACAGCAAACACGGGGTCGACGGCCCGAGCACATCGAACCGAGCCCGAGCGGCCGATGAGAAAGGCACGACACGCGCATCCAATCTACGAACGGGCAGATCGACGTAGCCCACGACCCCGTACATGATTCCCAAGACCAATATGACGACGACGGCCGTGACTAGGCACCACTGCAAGGCACTCCAAGCTCTTTTCCCGGGTGAGTCGTCCATGTCCGCCTCGTAAAAGAACATCGAGAAGGGGATAACGAAAAACACCAAGACCACGTTGATGATGTAAATGGCCGACCAGAGCTGTTCCATCGGAAGAGTCAAGTTGCAAGCGCCTGTCACGATAGCATTCTCACAAGCCTTTCGATTAGCTACATCCAACGGCAACATCAAGATCGAGATCTGGGCGACGGATAGCCCAAGGACCACCACGAACTTCGGAAGGTAGGCTTGATTCTTGTCGTCAGGATGCTGGTAGTTAACCAACACGTACACGTTCACCAAAAACACCGCCACCGTTACCACCACAGCCATGATAATAAGAAACGCGTTGAAATCCGGCCCACCCGCCATGGCTCCCGTGCCAGCAACACCTTATATCGCTTCCCTTTCCCCGTGTTGATTCACCCGCCAACTGCTAGGAGAGCAGTGCCGGCGGGCCTGGCAACTGCGCCCTTCCGGCACCGCCGGCCAGGTCGGACAGCGACAGCGCAAGGCAAAGAGAGGAAGAGGTGTATACACACACAGGGACCCTCGTCGTCCTGATAACTGCGTGCCAGAAACACCACCGCGAATTCCGCACCGCCGCGCGGAGAACAGCCAGTCAGCACGTTGCAGACAAAGCGAATGACGAAGACGGGAGGGGGGGAGGGG